GCCCCGCAGTCGTCTCGGAGCCAGGCCCGACGGCCGCAGGTGCAGCCCCCTTTGTTCTCCCCCAGGTGCGTGCGGGGTGGGCGCCGCCAGGCTTTACGCGGGTCCAGCGGGCTCGACCGCCCCCGCCCCGCACGCGCCTCTCACCTTCTCCAGCCCCGCCTTACGCATGTTTGCTTCGTCCTTCAGGGCCCCAGCAAGTCCAGCCCCGTCCAGGTGTGGCCTGGCGACGTCTGCGGGCAAAGGAGCGGCATCCGGAACCTGGGCCTGGCCCCAGGGCAGCCTCTGGGGAGCCTCAGGCTTGGCCCTGCCCTGGGGTGGCAGTCCGCCCCCTCTCGGCTGGCCACCCACCCTGCCCAGGTACCCCTGCTTTGGCATCACCAGGGATCAGATTCTCCTGACCCACACCCCTGCGCCCGCCCATCGCCCTCAGCCCCTGGGGGTCCCCTGGCCAGCATGGTCCAGCCGCAGACAGCCAAGGCCGAGAGCAGCGCAACAGCAGCAGCAGCGTCCGCAAACGCGCAGATGGATGACGTGATCGACACCCTGACCTCCCTGCGCCTCACCAACTCTGCGCTGCGACGGGAGGCCTCCACCCTGCGGGCGGAGAAGGCCAACCTCACCAACATGCTGGACAGTGTGATGGCCGAGCTGACGGTGCTGCGCACCAGGGCGCGCATCCCCGGCGCCCTGCAGATCACCCCGCCGGTCTCTGCCATTTCCTCCAACGGGACTCGGCCGATGACCACACCGCCAACCTCTCTGCCCGAGCCCTTTTCCGGAGACCCTGGCCAGTTGGCGGGGTTCTTGATGCAAATGGACAGGTTCATGATCTTCCAGGCCTCCCGTTTTCCGGGCGAGGCCGAGCGGGTGGCCTTCCTAGTGTCCCGACTGACTGGGGAGGCAGAGCAGTGGGCCATCCCCCACATGCAGCCCGACAGCCCCCTGCGAAATAATTATCAGGGCTTCCTGGCAGAACTGCGGAGAACCTACAAGTCTCCACTGCGGCATGCGCGGCGCGCCCAGATCCGGAAGACTTCCGCCACTAACAGGGCAGGGCGGGAAAGGCAGATGCTGGGCCGCCAGCGCGCAGGCTCCAGCACAGCATCCTGCCCGGTGCATCCAGCCTCAAGCGGGACTAGTCCCGCTCCGGCCCTGCCCACCCGAGCTCGGAACCTTTAAGAGCAAGCCAGCACTGTGTTAGCGTCTCTAGCCATCCAGGCAGCACAGGTCTTTGCAGTGTAGAAGAGAGGCCGGTAGCCAACATGACCCCCGTTTGAAGAAGTCCCTTCCAGCCTGTTCAGACACCATACACAAGGAGATCCTTCTCTCTGGGATGCCCTGGTGACCACTTACTGTGCTTCCTGGTGTCGTCAAGTGCTGACTTTGTACCTGCAGCTCACGCATGCTCCCTCTCCCTTGCTTGCAACCCCAGCTGTTCAAATGACTTCAACTGCTGCCCAGGCTCTGGGACCCACAGCGCACTTTCCATAGTTGGGCTGTCCCACCCCCTGCAAGCTTGATTCTGTTAGTGGACACTCCTATTCCACCCCCTGCAGACTCTCCTTTGGTTGCTCTGTTCTCACTCATGAGCTCTGGACAGAAAGCCATGTGAACCAGGCTGGTGGCACCTGTGTACCCCGAGGGCAGGTCTGGCTTCCTGTCCATGGATGCCCACCAGCTAGGCCAGGGCGCAGTGTCGCAGACAGGGGTCTCCTTCCTGCTAGGAGAGTAGTTGTGGCATTTCTGAGGGCAGGTTTCACTCTGCAGCCTGTGTGCCCATTGCTGTCCTTGGGAAGTGTGGTATCACAACTAAAGGGAGGATGAGGATGTTGCTCCCGTGTGGTTGGCTCTAGCTGCTTCTGTTCTGCCCACACCAGGAACTGGGGATCTGGAACTTGCCTGCTAAATAAAATAAGGTCATGGTGGACCCTGGACCACTGGGTGGTTGCATCAGGCTGCCACAGGCCACAGATTCACACACATCCATAAGAGCTACAACAGCCAGGAGATAGATGCTAGGGCTTGCTGTGCTCCCCTGGGTGTTCGTCACCCCCACTGAGTAGTAGGCCTTGAGACCTGTTCTGTTCCTGTTCAGGTGCCAAGTGGCCTTGACCCTTTCAGCCACCCACCCCATCTCTGGGTCTCCAGTCATGTAGCGTGGCCTCCCTGTCAGATGGGAGATGATGTCCACCCATCAGGTGTCCAGCCTTTGTCCAAGAAGTAGACTCCCTCATAAAAGGGGACTTGACCGCTCTGGGAAACACTGCTAAGCACTTAAGGCTGGGTAGGGGTGTCAGCCTCTGTCAACCCCAGCTAGGGTTCTGATAGCATTTGTAAAGGCAAAGAGCTGCGGATGACCCTGGCCTACTGTGACAGTGCAGAGTTGTCATGTGTCCTGATTCTGAGGGACAAAGCTGTACCTCTGGTGGACTGCCTTGTGCTTCCTCGCCTAGACCTTGTGGTTTCTGGGACCCGGCCAAGTGCTTCGACTGTGGTGCTCCCGCTGTATCACAATGCCAAATGAACTGCACTTCTGTGACCACCTGGACCACAAGGAGATGAGGGGCTCTGGATCCGTCTGCCCCTGAGTGGTCCTGGCATGATTGCAGGTGGATAGCCTCTGCGCCCACCCAGTGACATGTGTCTTGGGGTCCTGGGGATTGAGTCCTAGGACCCAGCCACTTTTGAGAGTTTTGATGATGCTAGAAAAGTGACTGTGATTCTGAAGCATCCACTGCCCTGCAAGGCCAAGAGTACTCAGTGGGTGCTGGGGTTCGCGGACCACGGCCA